ACAGGAGAAATATGCTCTCTCTTTCTAGTCCCACCACTGACCGGCATATGACAGTATGGTAAATACTCTACTTTAAATGTGGGTCACTGGAACTAACTGCCAGTCACAAAGCAATGGTAAAGAGGGAATTGTTGCATATGAGCCCTAGAAGGCAGGTACTACTCAAATTTGGGCTGCTGGGGATTTTTTTGCTTTTCGCACCCCCCTGCAAACCCCAGTAGTCTTCCAGTGGCACCATTTCTCACAAGTCATTGTTATGCTCTCCTGGCTATTGTTTCTATCTTAGTTTACTAAGTAATTAAGAATTAAACTCCTGTCAGTCTCCACTTTATATTGTACCTTATGAGCCAGGTAATAATCCTAAAGGCCATCAGCAACACATCTGCGTGTTGTGAAAAGTAAATGGCTCGACGCTCTCAGTGAAGTCACTGACATTTTATTTGACATGTTATGTCAAAACAATTCAGTTATGATTCTCATCATATCAGTCTTGCCAGTAAGTGATATGGGTCCACAATGAATGCTAATCTAAATTTACATAAATAAGGGTACAGCTTGTCATATCATCCAAGAACAAAGGAGGCAGTGATTTGTGTGAAATAGTTTATGAGTTTTACGTTCCAACAGAAGTGGTTTGAAATCTTTCAAATCCTTCACTTGATCTGGGAGCTTAACTGGCAAATGTCCAGTCATAAGCCTGCTTCCTCAGCCTTCAGGCGTTCACCACTCCTGTCTCTTTCTAGAGTAACTGAAGTGGCCTCTCTCCCTACTGGCACAAAGGCCACAGTGAATTGTCCAGTTTAATATATGCCACAGACACACACACACACGACCATTTTTATTGGCTGTTTACACACGACTGGTAGAGCGCTGACACACTAGGGTGTGTTGAGGCCACCTCATTATCTCAGCAGACATTTACTTTGCTGTCATCCAGTATCAAAGCACGGCCCGCGCTGCGACTTAGCTGTCTGAGTTGGCCGCACAGCTAATCAATTGCTGTTCATCCCAACACTGCGCCAAAGGCTGTGCTCACAGGCTGTCGCCCTCCCCCTAAAAAACCCTGCTGCTCATTATTGTGACAGCTGATAAGAGGGAGATGGAGTGAGAGCGAGAGGCGACAAACAGACACAATCCTTTCTGTTGCCTGTATAATTTAGAAAAGGTTATGGAATCAATGTCTGGCTGTCACTCTCCAGATCGAGGTCGTTGGCTTTGCACAGACATTCCAATAAGATCTGATTATGGCCACTGCATTTGCAATTAAAAATCAGATGACAGCCTTCGCTGCCCAGTATGCTGCTTGGGACAGAATACAGCAGCACGCTGTTCACTGGCGTCCTTCTCAAAACAAATTGGGCTCGTTCAACCGGGCGTCCCAATATGTGGACGTCACATTTTGGGTTGTCTAGACCAAAATACTAATTTTTGCTCTACAAGGGCCTGATATCCACTTACGAGGACGTTATACTGCCACTGTTCTTTCAAAATTTAAAATGAATGTCCTCATATGTTGATCTCATTTTTCTCAGAAACAAAAATCAGATAATTCTTTGTTTTTACATTCATCAGGTCCCAATCAGCCCAAATAGCAGAGAGAAATTAAAAATGACAAAGTTTGGGTCTTAGGAGGTTAAAAACAGTTGACATAGTATGTGTATTGGGGAAATATGTGTTCTTGCTTTCAGTCAGTGAACTGATATAAAATGTATGCCACTCTCACATCTGTGTATACTGTTGTGGAAGTTTTCCATTAAATAAAGCCTGCAGACGAG